TTCTAGGCATGTACGTCAGGGGTTTCGTCAAAAAATGTCTGCAATAGGGCCGAACGTCTTGTTGAATGACCTCTGCAGGCTCCCATGAGGCCCTCAATATTCATCCAGCCCGACCCACGTCACAACAATTTCTCATCGGTGGGTGACTGGGCTCAGGCGGCAGTCTAGCAGGGCTTCGACAAGATAGCCACTATCACCATAGATAGCCTGCTCTAGTAATTCCCTCACGGTGCCTCGTGCTGCCGCGATGCGTGACGGACAGACACCTCAATCGGCGGTATGATGTCTTGGACCTCCAACGTGAAGTCGTTCAATACGCGTATGACTCTCTTGGGTCCACGCCAAATGAGGGCCAACTTGTTGCCGCTACGACCTGTTGTTGTCACGACCAGCACAAAGTCACCTTCACTAAGCTTTTGTAAGTTGACACCTTGGCGACGAGCATGGCGCTCATGCGCTGCGTGCCGGCGCTTTTACTCGTGTCCACAAGCTCGGCGTGCATTGCATCTAGAGCCGCAATGAACGGCTGTCATGTGCTCGCGGACAGTGTCGTCAGCCCACGCCACCGTCGTCTTCTTTGAGTAGCGTGGATGAAGGATACTACGCAACTGCGTGCCACCTAACAGCGCAATAAACGACGTCAATGGTGCCTTGCCACCGAGGCGATCCGCCGGCAACACGTTTAGCGCAGCCTGATCGACCGGCAATACCACCGGACAGCAAACTTTCGCTCACTTAAAAGCGCTTTCACACACTTAAGAATCTCGAGTTTAACCACTTTGATGGTCTCGCTTGCCCACGGAGTGTACGCTGTGGTGAAATGATGCTGGACACCTAGGTTCCGCTGCTATCTCTCGACCACCTGATTACGAAAATGAACTCCTTGATCGGTGGCCCACTGCCTGACGACGCCGAACCTCTTGAACCAATCCACCAGGCCTTGGTACCCGACGTCCGACGTCGCTCTAGGGCAGGCAATCAACTCCCCCGAATTCGCTCATTCCGTCCTTTAGAACCATAACATATGTGTTACCACCAGTGCCCTCAACCGTCGTCAGACATTTGGAGTGAAGGGGCTCGTTTGGCTTCGTAGCCTTCAGCGTCTCTCCAAACGACCGGAGAAAACGGCCACTTGCTGTTGTCATACCGTGAAGACACCCCCTCGTAAATGTGGAAACGTCGCTTGCCATATTTTCCCAGAAAAACACAGTCTCCAGAGCTTGCAAGGTTGCACGTAAACCTCTGTGGCCGCTTGCACCTGCGTGTGCTATCACGCATAGACGTTGTTGCTGGTCGCCCGCGTCGGGCGGGATCCATACTTGACAGGACGGCATCACCATAAGGCCACGTTCATATCTCCACACAGTACGTTGTAGGTCGTCGCCTGCATCACGCGCTGCCCGCTGCAGTGTCCGTATCTTGGCCTCAGTGGGCCAGACAAACTCAGGCTCTTCAAGTGGACATGCGCTGCACAACCGCTGTACGCGCGACTCGCGCAACCGTGCGGACCTTGATACCCTCCTGGCCAGCGCCCCAACGACTTAGCAGATCGCCCCACACGTTATCTTCACCAGGAACATGCTCGGTCATGTACCGAAGCGCATGTATAGAAAACACCCGGCGCTGCAACCTGTCGGCTTGAAACTCCGCCATGGCCCCATCGGTAATGTACGGATTGAATATGTACACCAAATCCCAATGGTCTGTGTACAGACAAAATCCTTTTGGTCTAAGCAGCCGATAATCGAGACGACGTGTAACTTCTACGATGGCAAAGGCTTCTTTCTCATTCGGTGGCCAACGTGCCGACGCTCCAGCAAACTGACCTCTCGGAAACGCCGAAGGGTGATGATGCTGATCCTCCAGTGGTAGCGAGACTTCTTCTGGCTCCAACTGGGTCACAACAGCACCCAAAAAATCCTGACTCGCGTCGGTATGTAGACACAGCTCCGTCGTTGGTTTGGGGTAGTCCAGCGGCACCATCTTCAACAAGGCTCGACGAACGTCTCCGAAAGTGGCGACATCCTTGTCGCTCCACTCCGCGTCACTAAGTCTCACCTTGACAAGCTTATTCTTTCGTGAGCCAGCAATCTTTGCCGCACGCTCCAATGTGCTGTACAAAGGTGGCGCTATACGCGTGTACTCCTGAGTACTTTGCCTCATCCAGTTGGTTGCGCAGAGATACTGCTGTAGCTCTGCAGCTGTTTGCGGTGGTTGCATATCAATAAGTCCCTGCACTCTATCAGGACAATGCTTCACACCTTCAGCTGAGATGATTCTGCCACACCACTTTACCTCCGTTGCGAAGATCTGACATTTTTTTGGCATGCAGCGTTAACACGAAGTGCTCCCAGCGGGCGAGAACTCTGTCTAGTACCTGTAGTAGAGACTCTTCAATCTCAGCATAGCCCAGAATATCATCAAGTCATGCCAAAATGCAATCTCCAAGTAGGTCTCCAAATATTTTATCGACCACACCTTGGCAATACGCCACCGCATCGGTGGCAACCATAGGCACTCGTTTCGGGGTGTAGATGCCTCGATTCGTCACGAAAGAGTACATTTCATGAACCACCGGGTGTAGAGGCAGCTGTCAATAGCCTCAAAACCAGGCCAGTATAAAAAATCTTCTATCTCTCCCAGCATCACTTCCAGCCCTGGCATCGGCCACGGCATGAGTTCCGTTCGATCGTTGACACTGTGGCTGTCAATGGTCATCCGCGGGACTGCTGAGGGATCGAAGTCCTGCTCTCGTTTCCGAACGATCCTTGGAGCTGATGCCCACCTGCTCCTATGGTTCTTAAACACCAGTCCGGTCCAAATACGCACGATCATTAGGGGAGTAGCGACGTGGCTGCTCTATCTCTGGTGTCGCGTCGGGCTTCAGCCGGACCTTCATCGGCTCACCTCGCACCGGCGGGTCATTACCGAATTCCACTCGAAAACAATCCATTCGCATGTGTAAAATCGCCCATAGCCTTGTTCGACCCTCCGGTGTTAGCCCATCTTTGTAGCCACCTCGACTTTCTTCTTCAAGTACATTGTGACCTCAGGTATGGCCGTCGGGCACAGTGTAGGTAGTGCGGTCCTCGTCTCATGACGATCAATGTCATCTGCTTCCTCTTCCGGCATCTATTTCTCGCTGTCGGCAATTACTTGCATACGACACACACTTTGCAGAGTAGTCGGAGTAACATCGTCTTCCCAGACTTCTGACTCCACCTCGCCAATTTCCCACTCTGGACGAGTATCGCGTGCTTCTACCAAGAAACTTGTCCGTCGAGTACCCCATAATGTTCATGATTGGGCGGCCGACAGTCAACTCCGTCGACGAATTATCCTCCTCGACGTAACATGTCACGTTTCTAAGCATCAACGGGCCAGCTGAAGCTGTGAGTACGACCTTCCGGAACGTTGCATTGCGGTATACGCCCACCTTTTGGCCACCGACCGGGTTCAACCGCACTCCGTCTACCAGCTTCATATCCACTACTATGCCTTCCCGATAGAGTACTTACAGATAACCTCGCACCACGAGTGACGTGTCTGCTCCTGAGTCCAAGAGGAGTGGCATCACAGCCACACAATCAACCCTAGCCACAACGGTACCATGATCGGCTCCGACGTCTCGGGCCTCGGCGAGATGCTCTTCGTGGTTGACAACCTCAAAATAACGCATCGTAGCACCGCGAGCAGCGTCGCTCACGAAGCACCTTAAGCAATTCGGACGCATCACCTGGCAGACAGCTCGAACAGTCTCTCGCTAGATGCTCAGTCGAGTGACATTTCAAGCATTCACCTCGTGAAGCTCTAGGCTCCTTTCCCTCAGTAACGTGTCTCTCGAGCTTCCTCTATGCGACGACTGTGAGTCTTCTTGACTATGATGACTGCCACGACCTCCCCCATCGCTACCAGTACCACGGCTCTCACTGTGTCCCCGACCTCCTTTCGCACCACGGCCACTAGAGCTACCTCGTCTGGCGTGCCGTTGATTACCCTATCCAGTAGACGACCCTGCGGCTGCCTGTGCAGGGTGCTCCCATGTCATGAACTCACGCTTGAGCTGCGTGACCCACGAACGGAACGGCACCACTTCGGTCTTGTACTTCTTATTCTCATGTAACGTCAACTTGGTGGTGATCACTGCCCTGAAACTGGCGGGGGCCAGCGCGTCTGCAAGATATCTCACGATCCGGCGCAGATCGTGCTCAAACGCCACTTCAGTCAAGCTGAACTGGTCCAAATTGGCCTCCTGATCAACCTGTAGATTCATCATTCTACTCTCTAGCTCAGGCCACGTCGTCGTCATCTGCAGCTTCTTCATGGCTTCATCAACGGACGCGTATCCGATGTGCGATGATGTGCTGGCCTACTTGACGTAATCAATCTGCTCTAATAGCGGATGCATTACTCGTACCGCCCCACCATGCGCTTGGCGTCGACGCCACACACGCTCCGATCGGCATCGCAAACGTTCCACCCCACTGAGTCTGAAGCGCGTTAATGGCAGCCAAGTACGTCTCGTACTGGCGCATGAAGATTCTCCTGCCCTGCATCGTCGTGCCTGAGAATCTAGGAGGCTGCGGTAGCGCTGTAGCTACGGCCACGTTCTGACCGCCTACCGCAGGACTGGCTATGGTCATGATCGCATCGGCCTCCCCCCGCAGGCACGTCCTCAAACGGGTTCGGGATCGTTGTCGTCAGTCCCGGGGATCTTGGCGAATACGACGCCTCACCCTCAAGCCGCCTCGATGCGGCGCGTGCAGCCAGCTCGTCGACCGTCGGATCTTGCGCCATAGATGCCGCTTGCTCGTCCGTCGCGTCTTGGTCGCTCATTTCTTCTCACACTTGCACTGCGCGGAGCTCCAACCTTTAGAAACGACTAAGGCTAACTTTGTTGTCTCTCCGGCCCTCTGCCAGGCCGAACCGCTCTCTACCAAGCTAAACTGAAGCTGTGTATTTAATTGAATTGAATCCTCTGATGCTTCTCTCTGTGTGCGTGCTACATAACACGGGTCTTCACATCCTTCCTTCTCCCCCTGGCGCACGGTACGTGCATCTCCCGCGGTTACCCTCGCCAGCTGTGGCCGAGGGAGTCGTACTGAAACAAACTGTATCCGGCATTTCCTAACCTCGTACGTCTCCCGACCGCGCTCGTGTCAACTATGCAACTTGTATGCTATTGGCTATTGGTACGGCTGGTGTTATTGTCGCAGTTTATCCGATATTCTTTGCTACTACATGAACTTCAGCTGCATCAGGAAACACTTGCGCTGCGCAGTAGTTTCCGCTCACGGTGCGTCGCTTTGTGCGATATTTTTCACGCCTATTAGAGGTGCTGCAAGTTGTAGTCTGCAAATGCCACTACTTGTAGTGTGACAGGGTCATCCAGCACCTTGCGCTAGAGGAACCTGGACAAGAGGGGTGCCGAATTGAAAACAGCAAATATTTTATTTTTTCATTTTACAATAATGTCTTGCCGCATTATCCCTACGCTATGGCAAAAGATGGAGACGCTTCCAGCTGGTACTGAGCTGTTTACTCGCGTTCTAACGTGCCTCGATGCAGTAAGCATCGCAAGATTCTTGCAAGTGGAGAAACGAAGTCGCAGGAGCGTCCGGAAGCTGTTCTCGATCATCGAAACGATACGCTCTCGTGTGGCATTAGCGTCTTTGTGTTTTTCTCGTCTACGTGTGGAGTTTCAAGCGTATTACCAAGTGCTAGAGACTCAAAACATCCCTCGATCGAACGATCCTCGTGTACCTCCCCGTGTGGTCCCCCTTTGGAGCGAAAGGGGTCAGGTGCGATGAATATTTGCGGCTGGTGAGTGGGTAATTAGAGGGTACTAAGTCCTGGTTGGTTCTTGCCTTTTGAGTAGGTTGCTGGAGGAGCAGTGTCATTGAAGCCAGTAGAACTGCCGGACGTGCACGCAAATGGATTAACTGCTCACTTTTTAGCAGCGTCCAATACTGCAGGAAATCGACCAATGCTCATAAACGTGGTGCAAACCAACCGTCGGATTTATACAATGATCACGGTGAAGTTGCTGCAGTCTGGTGATAATCAAGACAGGAATGATACTAGCACTGAGCTGGTGCTACGTAGTTACTCGTACCTCAAGGAGTTTGGGGAATGGAAGACGCCGACACTTCCAGAGAAACACAAACTGGCTGCAGCCAATTTTGGAAGTCACCGAGGTCAATTCGATCTGATCTCGCAGGATGGCAGTGTGGTTTTGGAATTGGAAGTACCGAGGGGTACAGATGCCCAGATGGATTATTATTTGGTGAAACAAGCCACAGTGTCCATTCATATCCAAGAGCTTTTGCAAGTTTATTTTATATCGCTACGGCCGATTAAATCTTTGCCTGAACCTTCGCACCGCGAAGCATGCAACATTTCGATCACACTTCGATCAATAGCAGGGAAACTAGTTACACGTTGTTGTGTGCCTGGGTATATTACGGTCGAACAGCAACAAGGTGATGGCACTTCAACTGAAAGTAACACACCACGCAACCAATCAAGACAGCGAACTGGGATCGAGAATTTTGAGGCTGTAACGTGTCGAGGCAACTGTAACTCAGACAAGAGAACCAAGGTTAACCTTCCCACTGACCCAGGCTACGCGTGGCTCGAGGTGCGAAGTATGAACGAAGCAGCTTTATCGAGACGGTCGTGTCTTTATTATTACGCTGTAGCGCTTCATCACGGTGCTAAGAAAGTCCCAGGAAGTGGAGATTCGCGAGCGATGCAGTTCAATTGGCTGCCAGGCTTACTCGAATCATTTCCCACACTGGAATCTCGGCAACGGCGATGTCTGAAGGGCAACCTACGCATGATGACTTCGTCGAACGGTAGCATGTTGCAAGAACTGACGCTAGTAGCGCAGAGATTGCCAACAGCGAGGCTAGAACGATATGCAGCTCGGATCGAGTCGTACACAAGACATGAGTCATAAGCATTTCAAGTAATAGATTGTCTGCCGTTGACTGGCGTCGCCCGAAATCAGACGTCTCGACAAGGAAGGACAAGTTGCGCCCCGTTCGATGTCGTTGAATCAGCGCCATCAAACTTGATTCAAAGGAGACAAGTACTACTTCAAGTGCTAGAGGCAACAACACGTCCTCCAAGCTACAGCTTCTGCTCTCACGCATCATTGAACAACTAAGTGTAACTTTGCAACCACTTCGTTGCTGTAAAAGTTTCGTGCACCTGAAACAGTCAATTGAAGTCGCGCAAAAGTAATATATACCCTGTGTGAAACTGCAGAAGTTTGTATGACTCGAATTAGAATAATCCAATCTGATTTCATCCAAGATATCAAACGGCCACGTACGTGTCATTTCCGCATTTGCTCCATCCAAGACACACGTCTTCTGTCAATCCTATCGCAACCATGTCTAAGGACTTGAAATTCCCGGAAGACTTTATGTGGGGCACTGCCACTGCCTCGTACCAAGTGGAGGGTGCTAGCAACGAAGGTGGACGCGGCGACAGCATCTGGGACGCCTTCTCTCGGACACCCGGCAAGATCGTGAATGGAGACACAGGCGAGAAGGCGGTGGGTCATTATCATCGCTACAAGGAGGACGTGCAACTTATGAAGAAGATGGGACTCAAAGCTTACCGTCTCTCCATCGCTTGGCCGCGGATCATCCCCGCAGGAGTCGGCGCAGTGAACGAGGAAGGCGTCGAGTTCTACAACAACCTCATCAATGAGCTACTGGCCAACGACATCACGCCCCTGGTAACGCTGTACCATTGGGTTTACCCTTAGCTCTGCAAACCGAGTATGACGGCTGGCTTGGTGGCAAAGTCATCCAAGACGCCTTCGTGCAATACGCTCGCGTGTGCTTCCAGCGCTTCGGAGACCGTGTGACCAACTGGTTGACGTTGAATGAGCCGTGGTGCTCCGCCTTTCTGGGCTATGGCAATGGTGTTCATGCTCCAGGACGCAAGTGGAAGCCACACACGGAAGTGTATTTTGCAGGACACAACCTGTTGCTGGCCCACGCGCGTGCTGTCGAAGCCTACCGCAACGAGTTCCAAGCTACACAGAAAGGTAGAATTGGCATCACGTTGAACTGTGATTGGCGCGAACCAGCAGCGACGGATGATCCCGTGCAAAAGGCTAAGAACGAAGAAGCGGCGGAGCGCTCGTTGCTCTTCTTCCTGGGATGGTTTGCGGACCCGGTCTACAAAGGAGACTACCCGCAAGTCATGAAAGACCGATGTGGACTACGTCTACCAACGTTCACTGAAGACGAGAAGAAGTTATTGAAGGGCAGCTCGGACTTCTTCGGTCTAAACTATACGGTACCAGCTACACTGAGCCATCAGATGAGTATGAGGCCAAGATCGCGCCACCGGATGATGCTACTGGTGGCTATGGACTCGATGAAGGCACCAAACTGACGTCGGATGACTCGTGGAAGCGCACGGACATGGGCTGGAACGCTGTGGGCTGGAGCTTCCAGAAGCTGCTGGTCTGGATTCAGAAGCGTTATGCAGTGTCCAACGGCATTTTAGTCACAGAGAATGGCTGCGCGTGGCCGGATCGCACCAAGGAGGAGGCTCAGAATGACGATTTCCGTGTGCAGTTCTACAAGGAATATCTCACTGGACTACACAACGCTATTGCGGAAGGCGCAGATGTCCGTGGATACTTCGCTTGGTCTTTTATTGACAACTACGAGTGGGCGGAGGGATACACTAAGCGCTTTGGACTGCACTGGGTCAACTACGAGACCATGGAACGCACTCCTAAAAAGTCGGCGCTCTGGTACGGCGACGTCATTCGCAATAACGGATTCGCTGCTTAACCGGTGTTCTGTATTATACAGAATATGTAATATGACAGTGGGAAGTATGCTGCAAGCTTATATACGCAATTGGCGACAGCGATTCTGCGCATATAGGAGTTTGTATTTGTGGGGATGGGGCATCTTATCATTTTGGATCAGAGATCGGGAGATAGACGGGTATTATTCCTCTGCAATAGAAAAGGCAATATAAAATGCCCAGAGGTTTCAAAATTCTAACTTCGTCCCGTCATCTTCTCGCCCACGCATTTCGTCCATAGGTTTCAAAATTCTAACTTCATCCCATCTTCTCGCCCACCATTTCGTGAAATCGTCCAGAAATGACGGAGTGGATTGACCCAAAGGAGTTCAAGCGTTTATGGGCCTCTCTGATCAAGGCTGGATGGAGAGCACGACCGCCGACAGGCCTGGACTCGGAGCACACCTATGTAAAACCAGGCGTGAAATGTGACGGGGTCACACAGCACCTTGCGCTAGAGGAAGTTATCTTCCGAGAGTATACAAACTCTCAGTGAACGGCAGTTCACTGGTCCCCTCTTTAATTAAAGAGAGCGAAGTGACCTAAATAAGGTAGATTGTAAACTGAGTATATTTATAGGTAGGTTAAGTTTGTGGTTAATACAAACTATCAGTTACCTATAGAAATGCAATGTCATTTAACCAATGGTTGGTTTTGAATGACCTTGGTACCTTGTACCAAATATCCCGGAGTATGACATGTCATACTCCTGAAGTGTGAAGTGTCACACTTCATGTAACCAGGGTACACTTAGTGCTACGTACCCCGTTACGTCCTCCCCCACTTAGGTTCGGTTTACCGAGCAATCAGAATGAAGAGATGTTCGTCACAAACTCTCATTCTCAAAGTCGAAAACCATCGACTCGGCCGCGCGAGCGCGGCGGAGGCTCACTTTACAGTTAGAGCCTCGAGCAGCAACCTGTGCGCTCTTCGTCAAGGTCTCCACTTCGACCGTTAACATGCCTCGTGGCACTGCTAAGAGCGGTGCTAAGACACGCTCCAAGGCTGCAGCCGGTAAGCGCAGCCAAGAGCACTAAGCCTCACGGCAAAGGCTCTGCACTCAAGGAGGCTACTCAGGTGGCCTCCGAGGCGATCGGATCCTCGGGTGACGCGGCTGCGGACA